CTCCTTCTTTTACACTACACCATGTCTGCTCTGAAAATTGAGCATCTGTGATCACTTTACACTTTCTCTGATCCTTTCCGTGAACTAGCAGATTGATTTTTAAGCTTATCCTGTTGACATTTTCAGTTCCTAGGAAGTAAGACGTTTGTTTTGCTCTAAGCTTTGTCCCTGTGGATAACTCTACCCTGGTGGCACCCATCTTTTCGGGATTTCAACAATCCCCCAGATAAACCCAAGTCCATCTGCTAAAGGACCCAAAAAGAGTCTGAAGTGTGATTAAAGGAAATTTAGCCTTTTGGTCTCACCATCCCCTCTAGATTTTCTTTCTGTTTGGTTTTCACGAAACATTAAATTTGCCAGGGAGTAAATGCTGCTTCCCGTGGGTTAATGCATGTGTTCTCAGTAATATGAGAAATAAGGGGGAAAGGTGTTAGATGGAGAAAGTTATGCTAGGGAGTGTGGGAGGATTACCTACAGTGAAGGAGAAAAGATATTTCAGCCTAATGGATTTTTTAAGTCTATGCTTTTATATGTGGGGAATCACATTTCCATGTAGAAAGGCAATTTGGTAGAAATGTAGGCACAGGTTAGGCTCACGTTTAGGCACTCCTAAATTTCTCCATTGGTTCAGCCTGGACTAACGGCACGCTCTGAGCCCCATTAGTTTCTTCATCTATATTGTGAAGACAATAATATATCCACAGGGTACTTTGAGAATTAAGGTCATCTGCCTGCAAGGACCTGATGCATACTGAGCACTCAACATTACTATTATTTTATTTTCCTAACACCCTTCCTTGTGTTTCAGAGTCTCTGACCCCCTTTGGGAAGAGGAATGCCTGATCTGTTTCCACATGGAGATTTTTTCAAAATGTTCTAATCACCTAAAATCTGATTTCTCAAGTTCTTTTTTGCTTGCTTGTTTTTCTTCCTTCTTTTCTCACAGTTATCTGCTATAGAGCAAGATAAAAAATTTCAGCTGTTACTTTTCAAGCTAATTCTTCTTATATGTAAATATATTTAAATGTGTCACTCTATAATCTACTCTCGAAATAAGTCTTAAACATTCACTCATTTGTTGGAGTTCAGATAGTGCTACAAGTTCAAGTTATAAAGTACCCTCTCTAGTCAAAGCACACAGAAGTGATAGAATATATGTGTTTATATGATGTAATAATATATATTAGTTTATGCATATAAATTTCAATCACACTTTGAAAAACAGATCAACATCTGAATGCACAGAAGCTCAGAAAAATCAAGGATTACAGTTCTACTGGTTTCCAAGGCCAAAAATATTCCAGGATAGCTAAGAACTGACATTTGAAGGGTAATAGAAGCTGGAGTAGGGTCATTTGTAATGGGAGATTACAAACTTCAGGAGCATCCTGAGGCGGTAGGTTACAAAAAGCTGCATAGTGTGTGTAGACTGGAGCTAAGCCTCTACTTAGGTAAGTGACTAGACCTGTGATAGCTCCAAGATCCTTTATATTCTCCTGCCACTATTAGTTCAGGTGCTACACTGGAGGAAGTGGCAATCAAGGGAGGCAATCACAAAACCACAAAGTAAGTAGGAATGATTTAAAACAAGGAAGAAAAAGAGAAAGAAACAATATGCAATTTGAAACAATTCCTACTAAGAAGAGTCTATATTCTGCAGAGATGGGTAGAGAACTAACATTTTGGAACAAATCAACAAGATCAGTAAAAGACATGGATTTATTCATAAAATTATTTTAAATGATTGTAAATGAGGTAAAGGGAAAAAGAGCAAAAATTTTTAAAAAATAAACTAGGAAGCAAAATCAGGCAGGTATGAATCAAGAATAAATGAATATATAAAAGAACCAGTTGGATACATTTTGCAATGAAACTATGTTAATTTTTTTTAATTCCATGCACAAAACAATACTGTAGAAAGACAATCAAAAAGAGGATTACTGAATTGAAATATAGCCTTGAGGAATTCTTTTAGAACATGGCTTTAAGAGGTAAAGAAAGAAAAAAGTACAACAGAGAAATTAAGAGACATGAAGGGTAGAATGAGGCACCAATAAACTTGGTTTCCCAAGTTGAAAAGAGAGGGAGTGACAGGAACTGTTTATTCAATATGGTGGAGACTTTCCCACAATTGAAGAAAATTTAAAATGTATATAGAAAACCCAACTGGATAAATGAAAACAAACTATTCCATGGACACACACTGTAGTGAAATTTCAGAATACAAAGAAAAAATACAGAATCTTATAAGTCTTTGGGAAGAATATTCAAAGGTACCTACAAAGGATGACATTTACCTGTACAGCAGTGAGCTCATCAGCAAGGATGAATGACAGAAAATGATGGAATAAAATCTTCTAAGTACTGGAGGAAAATAGCTTGCAATTTCAAATTCTAAATCTAGCCAAATAAAGTATCAGTTTAAAGTGTGAGAAGTAAAGATACCTTCACCTATTTATACAAGTAAGAGAATTTACTTCCCACAGAAACTTATTAGAAGAATTACTAAAGCATACAATTTAACAAGAATAAAAGTTAACCCAGAAATAAAAATACACAAACATTAAAATGTGTACCATGTTACTATTTTTACCAAAATATGTACTGATCTAAAATTGTAAAAGTAAACTGTTCAATGAAGAATTCACTTGCTAAGTTTTGTTTCTCATTCAAAAGAATAATGAAAACTTTAGACTCTGATAGAAAAATATATTTGAGTATGTATGTTAACACTTGTAAAGGTAATAAATCAGTCAAGGGTGAAAGAGCAAACAAAACAAATTTATCAATCCAACAGAAGGCAGATAAGGAGAAACACAAGCAACGGAAAAGCATATAAAACAGAAAACACAAAATGTTCACAATTACTCCAAATTCAACAGTCTAAAATGTGAAGTGAGAAATTGTTTAGATGGAAGTTTTAGACAAATGCATTTAAAAAAAAAAAACAAGAGACATTATAAATAAATTTACTATAGAAGCTATTGAAAGAGAAACAGTATATCTTAAAAAGGTAGAAATCAGGAAACAAAAGAGACAAGAGCTTACAATAATAAGATAGAAAAAAAAACATAATCACAAAAGCAAGAGAATGTTTCTTTAAAAGACTAATAAAACAATCCTCTAGCAAGACACTGATGTGAGTACTTTACATTGCATTAATTTGTTTAATCCTCACAGGAACCCTGTATGGTAGGTATGATTAAGAGTCAGTGTAAATAAACATTAACATAGAAGGGAAAAGGAGAACATGGCTATTAATACAACAGAGATTTTACAAATAGCAGTAAGTTCTGAAGACAGTTTTTGCCACTACATTGAAAATTTGCCCATATCAATTACCCAAAGTAACTTAAGAAGAAAAAGAGCTAAACAACTCTGTATTTTAAAAAATGGAACTGGCAGTCTAAAACCATTCCCTCTAAAAAGCTATTAGTAAGCTCAGGCAACCTTATAGAATTATTTTATTAGTTTCAAATCCCATCTTATAAAAAGTTTTATATAACACAATTAGGGGGTAGGTTAACAAATTAATGTTAGGAAGCTAATATAATTTTGAAAATAAGACCTGACAGGAAATTCAAGAAAATCTAAAATTAGAGATAATCTCATGTAGTAACATAGATGAGAAAGTCTTAAACATATTTTTCTGTAAATCAAATCTAGCAGTGTTAATGTACACCTTGTAGCTAAGGAAGATTTATCACAGGAACTCAAGTGATTCAATATCAGAAAATATGGCAATGTAATTAACACATTGACAAATGAAAACTAAGAAAAAAATAGGTATATACATTAAACCTTAAGAAATATTCCCAGTCTAAATCAATAAGACATTGTTGCTCACTATAACTCATCATTCATCATTATTCATTGTTGTACTAAAGCTCCTAGCAAAAGCAAGTCTAGAAAAATAAATAAATAAAGCATAACGATTGGTAGAGTATATCAAGCAATAAGTATTTATACAGAGCACATTTATCAATAAAGAGAATGCATGATAATTTCCAAACAATTAGAACACATAATAAAGTTTTGCAAGATGATTAGGTATAGTATCAATATTAAATTCAAAAGAAATGTTTATATTTTAATATAGTAAATATACAAAATAAAAAAATAACCAATTAAAATTATCATAGAGAATAATACTAATTTTAATAGCAATGAAAATTATAAAGTACCTGGGAAAATAAAGTACCTAGGTTTATACAAAAATATAAACACTGTATTCATTTCCTAGGCCTTGAGAAACTAGCATAAGCTGAGTGGCTTAAACCAACAGAAATTTCTTGTCTCACAGATCTGGAGACTAGAGATCCATCAGGTCCATCAGATCCAGAGAACATCAGGATGTTAGCTGGGCCATTCTATCTTCTAAACCCTCCTTCCTTGTCCCTTCCAGCTTCTGGGAGCCCCTGGGGCTCATTGGTTTGTAGACGTATCACTCCAGTTTCTGCCCCCATCTTCACACGGTGCTTTCCCTTTTTTCTGGGTCTTCACACGGTCCATGATCATCTTCTTAGAAGGACAACAGTCATAACAGACAGGGACCCGTTCTATTTCAGTATGATGTCACCTTAACTAATTACATCTGTAGCGAAGTGTTAGTCGCTCAGCTGTGTGACCCCATGGTCTGTAGCCCACCAGGCTCCTCTGTCCATGGAATTCTCCAGGCAAGAATACTGGAGTGGGTAGCCAGTCCCTTCTCCAGAGGATCTTCCTGACCCAGGGATTGAACCCAGATTGCCCGCTTTGCAGGCAGATTCTTTACCATCTGAGCCACCAAGGAATCCCATCTGTGATAAACCTATTTCTAAATAAGGTCACATTCTGGGTACTGGCAGTGAAGACTTAAACGTGTCTTTTGGAGATCACAAATCAGCATGTAACAATTCCTAAATTCAAACTATTATTTAAGGACATCCAAGACCTGCATCACTGCCCAAAAGACCAAGACCGTTAGGAACACCTGTCTTCAAGTTGAGCTGTCATCAGTGCTACAGATTGTTGGGCTCAGCGGGGAGAACTGTGCCGTGAGAACAGTGGGGCATCTCAGAAAGATGAAGGTGTGCGCAGCGAGGACTTGGGCCGGTCTGGATGATGGGGAGGGCCGGGAGCAGCGAGGTGCTGCTCTGGACCGCAAGAGGTGAGAAAGCGAAGCAATCGCTTAAGGGCTGCAGGCTGTTGGTGACCTTGACAACTTTACCCAAGAGGCGTGAGGAATAGGGCGGCTTTCGTTCTGCAACCGGCAGGGTAGCAGCGTTCACTCCCGCTAGCTGGGAAGTGGATACTTGGTCCTCGTTATGCCTTGCATGGTGCTCGTGGTTTTGTCTGTGTCATTAGGCCATGGCCTTATTTCAGTCTTACTCCATCACTCTCTCAGGGGCCTTCTCTGATGCTATATTCACCAGTGTCTAGCTGTCACCAGCCCATTAACAGCTGACAGTTATTAAGGGGAGCTTCCCCTATCTTACCTGCATTAGTAATGAAATTTACCATCAGTATGAAGGAGAATATTATAAAGATGTCAATTCTACCCAGATTAATTTATAAAATCACTTTGTAGAATTAAAAGATATAGTAAAGTTTACGGAAAATTTGAAAGTGCCCCTGGCTAAAGGTATTAACAGATAATTCTGTTTTCCTGGAAGCAGTGCTGGCTTATATGTATTGCCCCGGCTTCCTATATAGTTAGCATTTTCCCCAGATTTTTAAATTTTTAACAAGGCATTAATTATATTAATTACATTAAAAATAAGCCAGAATTAGTTTGGTAACATTCCTCTGTGCATGTCCAGCTTCTATCAAAGTTTTCATCTAGCAGTATGTAATATATGTGTGCAGCGAACAGTTTTCATTCAACATGAGCTTAACTCAGGAAATCAGTCCTCAATAACCCACCTCCCTTTTCCCCAAATTCTTCATAAATATTACTGTTTATGCTTTTCATTAAAGAACAACATGCAGAGCAACCAGTGATAAAGCATATACCACCAAGAGCAGCTAGAGACAGCAAACTTCTTTTGGTCTCCAGCTACAGTGGAAAATGTATATATTTTTTATTTGAGAACACTTTATTTATTAGAACTTCCAAGGTGGCTCAGTTGTAAAGAAGCTGCCTGTAATGCAGGACATGTGGGTTTGACCCCTTGGTGGGGAAGATCCCCTGGAGTAGGGAATGGCAACCCATTCCAGTATTCTTTCCTGGAAAATCCCCATGGACAGAGGAGCTACAGTCAATGGGGCCACAAAGAATCAGATATGACTGAACAAGCACAAGCATCATCGTTATCTAATAAGGATTCTCATCAAGATGGAAACTCTTACCATTTGACTCAGGGATAGAAATGTAAATTAAGCTTCATTCATTTATCTTAGCAATATCTTGACTTTTAACAGATTTTCCCCAGTTTTATTGAGGTACAATTGGCAAACTGTTATGTGTTAATATTTAAAGTGTATGACATGATGATTTGATATAAAGGCATGCCTCAAAGGCATTGCAGGTTTGTTTTGGCTCCAGACCACCACAATAAAGCAAATATTGCAGTAAAGAGAATCATAATTTTTTGGTTTCCCAGTGCATATAAAAGTTAGGTTTATACAATATTGCAGTATATTAAATGTATAATAACATTATGTCTAAACAACAATGTACATGTCTTAATTTAAAAATACTTTCTTGGTAAAAATACTAACCATCACTTGACCCTTCAGCAAATTATAATCTTTTTTATAGATTATAAAAATCTAAAAGCCTGGTGGAAGGGCCTGCTCATGTTGGTGGTGGCTGACTAATCAGGGTGGTGTTTGCTGAAGGTAGGGGTGTCAGTGACAATTTTTTAAAGCAGGACAACGATGAATTTTGCTGCCTCAATTGACTTTTCATGAAAATTTCTCTGTAGCATGCAAAGCTGTTTGATAGCATTTTACCAATCATTTCACCCATCTTTTAATTTGGAGTCAATCCTCTCAAACCCTGGCATTGCTTCATCTACTGAGTTCATTGTAATGCCTCTAAATCCTTTGTTACAATTTCAACAATCTTCACATCATCTGCACCAAGAGTAGCTTCCATTGCAACTTTCTTTCCTCATCCATAAGAAGCAACTCCTCATCACCTCAAGCTGTATCATCTTTTGGTGCAATTTGGTCACAGCTTCAGACTGCTTCAACTACGCTGAGAATCTGTGCTTTAGCGCATCTGCATTCCTTAATTATCTGAGCTAGAGCTTCTGGATAACTTGCTACAACTTTTACAACAGCACTTGCTTCTTGCACTGTCATGTTATGGAGATGGAATCTCTCCTTAAGCCTCATGAACCGACCTCTGCTAGCTTCAGACTTTTCTTCTGAAGCTTCCTCACCTCTCTTAGCCTTCATAGAATTGAAAAGAATTAGGGCCTTGCTCTGAATTGATGCTTGCAAGCTGTGGTGCTGGAGAAGACTCTTGAGACTCCCTCGGACTGCAAGGAGATCAAACCAGTCAATCCTAAAGGAAGTCAACCCTGAATATTCATTGGAAGGACTGATGGTGAAGCTCCAATACTTTGGTCTCCTGATGCAAAGAGCTGACTCTTTAGAAAAACCCTGATGCTGGGAAAGATTGAAAGCAGGAGAAGGGAACAGCAGAGGATGAGATGGTTGGATGACATCGCTGACTCAGTGGACATGAGTTTGAGCAAACTCTGGGAGATAGTGAAGGACAGGGAAGCCTGGCGTGCTGCAGTTCATGGGGTTGCAAAGAGTCAGACATAACTTCTCAACTAAACAACAACAAGAAGGGCATTGCTCTGCATTTGGCTTCAGATTAAAGGAACATTATTTTATACAGGCCACAGAATCTTTCTTCATATCAGTAATAAGGCTGTTTTATTTTCTTATCATTTGTGATTTCCTATTTGTTTGGTCACTGGAGTAGAACTTTATATTTCCTTCAAGAACTTGTACTTTGCATCACAACTTGGCTAACTATTTGGTATAAGAGGCCTAGTTTTCAGCCTACCTTAGATTTTGACATGTCTTTCTCACTAAACCTGATTATTTCTAGCTTTCAGTTTAAGGTAAAAAACGTGTGACTTTTCCTTTAACTTGAACACTTAGAGGCAATTGTAGGATCATTAATTGGCCTAATTTCAACTTTCTTGTGTCTCAGGGAATAGGGCGGTCTCAGAAAAGGGAAAGAGACAGGGGAGCAGCCAGTTGGTGGAGCAGGTAGAACACACACAACGTTTATCAACTAAGTTTGTTGTCCTATATGGGTGCAGCTTGTGGCTCCCCAAAACAATTACACTAGTAACATCAAAGACCCCTGATCAAAAGTCACCATGACAAGTGTAATAAATGAAAGAGTCTGAAATATAAGAAGAATTGCAAGAATGTGAAATGGACACAAAATGAGCAAATGCTGTTGAAAAATGGTGTCTATAGACACTTGCTCAATGCAGGGTTGCCACATTCACTTTGTGAGAAGTGAAACAATGTGAGGTATGCCTGTACATACATGATGAAAGGATTCCCGCAATCAAGTAGGAGATGTCTTTGATGTTGCTATTTGGGCCAGGCACATGATGTACGAGACAGTTGGGCCATTGTTCCTCCCAAGGTTCACATGATGCAGGGAACTTTCAGACTTTGAGTTGATGGGGTATGTGGGAAACATGGCCAATTACAGGTTAGATGTGTGTGGAATATGTGGAGGAAATGGAGGCTGAGCAGTCTTGTATACATACATACATACATCAAACATAAGGTGTAATCTTAATGGTTTAATGTAATCTTAATTACACTTAAGGTAATCTTAGTGGTCCTGCACAGTGGATCTATAATTTACACTTGCTTTGACAACATTTTCTCTCTTTCCCCCTTTTATTTTTTCAGGCTCTTGTTTGCATAATTGTGGGATCATAGCTTTTTATTTTTGCTTTTTTTTTCATCTGTTTTGATTTGGGGGTTAAAATCCAACAGCATTATTAGAATTTATTCTAGCACTTAGGAATTTTTACCCTAGAAAACAGTACATTTTGATTATTTGTAACTTCTCAGAAAGTGAGAATCTTAGGTCTCATTATCTAAAACAAATTTACGTTTTTATCCAAGCCTAGTTTAAGTGTAAAGTAGTTTCAGAATCGTTAGCCCATATTTTGTATGGTAACACTTTAATTTTGCAACCAACACTTTCTAGTAGCCATGAACTCAAGAAAACAATGTCTATGTTCAATTAAAAATTAAGAACTAAATTTATTTCTTGAAAAAAATTAGTACTGAAATTTTCCAGTAGTTATTTTAATAAGACTATGCCCAAAGATTGATAACTTAAAATGTACAGATTCAGATGATGCCTTTAAATATAACTCTAAAGTATGACACTGTCTTAATTACTAAAAGGTTTTTTCTTATTTTCAATTTCAAGCTTCTTTTATTAATCTCCAAGTTAAGTGGTTGTTGTTAATGTACTAACTCTATTAGCAGAGAAAGATAATTACACAAACTATATTATATTAATGTCATCAAATTCTACAAAAATAAGTATAAATTAAGCTAAGGCTAATAATAATATTTTTTTCATATACTTCATGGCATTCAAGTATAGGTTTGGATTTTCATTCTTTGAAAGATGAGAAATCTGATATTTTTATAAATGCTTAATTCAGATAGTCACTTAAAAAGTTCAACATTGAAAATATAATTTTTGTTTTTTGCAGTGGTAATATTGTAAATTTTATTAAGAATGAGATTATGGTAAAAATGATGTTCTTACAAAATTAAAAAATCTTTGGGGCAGAAATATCCTTGGAATTTGTTGTAGTACACACAGAATTCATAATCGCATACAAACAAGCTGTAGAATTCTGAAATAGAAACTGCAGTTGCTAAACCTCATATACACACACACAACGCATATTCACAGACACACACAAAAACATATACACACATCTGTAACCAGACTTAGAATAACTTTATCATTGATACAAAGTTCACGGGATGAAGATGTCACTGAAAATAAAGCAATACTTCCACATAGCAGTGTTCACTTTCTCTTTCTGCTGCCCATTGCAGAAAACTTTTTTCTTTATACTACTTTAAGAATAAACATTTTGTGAGTCCTCTGGATTTGGGGCTTATTTTCTTCGGAATCAATATGAAATTTTTAGTAAACATCAGTGATGGGGGTTCTCAAAATGTCATTTTTTTAAAGTTTTAATTGCATTGCCATTATTGAAAAACAATACTAGTGAACATAATGACAGGTTTTTATCCATATCTGGTATTTATCCATATAAAAGCAAGGGAGGGAGTGAGCAAATTAAATAATAGTTGCCTAAATAATA